ATTGATATTTTATACACCAATTACGATGAGGTCCAACTACGTTTAGAGTGTTTAGCCGACGATATTGACACGCAAATTAGCGAACGAACCGATTTCGAGTCGATATATTTTAAAATTGTCGCAAAGGCGCAAGATTTAATAGTGCGTCATGAAAATAGTGAACACGTCAATAGTGAGCGCGCACTAAGTTGCAGTAGTTCACAACGCAACAATAATATTGTAAAGCTGCCTACCAGTTACCTAAATTTAGTGGCTCATATGATAATTGGCTTGAGTTTAGAGACACTTTTTCTAGTTTAATACACTCGAACGATAGTATAGACATTATAAATAAGTTTCATTATCTCCGTGCGTCGCTCGAAGGGACGGCCGCTATTGTTATTCAATCTATTGAATTTTCAGCCGGTAATTACTTAATTGCTTGGAATTTGTTATGCGACCGGTTTGATAACAAAAGGCTATTGATACAAAATCATGTTGCTGCTATATTTAACATTGAGACAATTTCTAAAGAGTCGACATTTATTTTAAAGCATACAATTGATACGATAAATAAAAATATTAGATCTTTAGAATCGTTAGGAGAACCTGTAAGTTATTGGGATACGTTATTAATATACATAATTAGTCATAAATTAGATTCAAAAACGTATCGTGAGTGGGAGGAGTACAAAGGTAGGTTGGACTGTGATACTGCTATTTCATTTAAATTATTTCTAACATTTTTACGAAACCGTGCAGACTTGTTAGAAACTTTAGAGTTATCTCGCTGTTCTCAACCTACACAAAAAAGGACAAGTAATATTAAGAGTATGGTGTCGATTGCACAAAGTCCAAAAATTCAAGGTCATGAGAAGACTTCGTTACAGCTATGTCCTAATTGTAAATGCGAACACAAATTATTCAATTGCCCTAAGTTTTTAGAACTTACATGCGAACAGCGCTTGGAACTTGTGCCTAAATTAAAAGTTTGTTTTAATTGTTTGCGGTCTGGTCACTATGCAAACAATTGCAGATCTAACGGTTGCAAAATATGCAAAAAGCGACATAATGTTTTAATTCACATTCCAGATCTGAAGTATAAGTCAACAGCTAATGTATGTTCTAACACTGAGGACCGCTTCGCACATTCTTCCGCAACCCCGACACTATGCAGTGACGAGCCCTCCGGTAATGTCACGTTGTCTGCCCAACTTTCTACCTATTTACCCAACAGAACACAGGTACTCTTAGCCACTTCCCTTATAAAAATTGTCGACAACCGCGGCGGTGAGCGCATCGCCCGCGCAGTTCTCGATAGCGGTAGCACTTCATGCCTTATTAGTGAACGATTGAAACAATCGTTAAATTTACCTACAGTTGAGGTAAACGAGTCACTATTGGGTATAAATAATTCAAAATCGCATATAGGCGAAATGTGTTGTTTACCCATTAAATCTTTAAATGAAAACTTTTCGACAAGGATTTTCTGTTTTGTTTTGCCGAATATTACTGACGATGTGCCCAGTCAGCAAATAGTTTTAAAAGACTTAAATTTACCTAGCAACCTTTCTTTAGCGGATCCCAACTTCCACACTCCATCTTCGGTGGATTTAATTATTGGTGCGGATGTGTTTTGGGATCTATTAGGGCTACGTAAAATTAGTTTAGGAGCCGGGAAGCCCGTGCTATTTGAATCTAGTCTAGGGTGGCTAGTTTCAGGTCCTTTGTATAATAGTGGCCAAGCATGCTCGACTTCTGACTTTAAGTCCAATTTCGTGTCGGTAAAATCAAATAATGATGTTTCTTCGTGCAATGATTCCAGTGATGACATTCAAACCCTATTAACGCGGTTTTGGCACCTCGAGGAGGTCAGCCCTCAGGCTTCATCTTTCTCCAAAGAAGAGAAAAAAGAACATTTCATTAAAAATACATCTCGTCAGTCAGACGGTCGGTTCTGTGTCAGGTTGCCACTGACACAGTCACCTGATGTATTAGGCGGCTCGCTGCAGCGCGCCAAACATTGTTTATTTTCTCTTGAGAGAAAATTCAAAGGGCAACCCGAGTTTAGAAATAATTATATTAAATTTATGCCCGAATGTTTATTTTATCCGCTAGGTTTCTCAGCTCCCTGCATTATTTCCATTAAAATATTAAAGCAAAGATTATGGCTTCTTAAGCTTTCGTGGGACGACCCACTGCCTATTGAAATTATTAAATCATGGCAAATAATAGCAGACATCTTGCCCCTACTAAGTTCTTTACGAGTTCCTCGTCTTATACTTTGCAATCGTTACGACTCAATTGACTTGCATAATTTTTGTGACGCATCGCAAGCAGCCTACGGTGCATGTTTTTACGTTCGCAGCACGAGTTATAATGCTGTTTTGGTGCGGTTGCTTTCAGCTAAAAGTCGCGTGGCGCCTATAAAGCCCACCACGATCCCGAGACTCGAGCTGTGCGCTGCGCTCGTTGGAGGTCGCCTGTACAAAAAGGTGTTGAGTTCTCTGCTAGTGCAAGTAAGATCAGTAACCTTTTGGACAGACTCCACTATCGTCTTAGGCTGGTTAAAAATGTTGCCAAGTAAACTGCAACCATTTGTGCGCAACCGTGTAGCCGAGATAGTAAATAAGACCAGTTAGCACGCTTGGCGTCATGTCCCTACTGACTTAAACCCAGCAGATTACGTCTCGCGCGGTGTCACCATTGATAAAATTAACAATCTCGATATGTGGTGGTCAGGCCCTCAGTTTAAAAAAATGATATTTCTTCTTGGCCAAAGAATATAACGCTGAATGAGCGATTACCTGAAACGCGCACTGAAATTACTTTAATTATTAATAACTCGAATATGGCTTTAATTAATTTCGAACGTTTTTCTAAATTTATAATATTACAGCGCACTATGGTTTATGTTTTAAGATTCATTAATATTTGCAAAAAACAGCGTCCATCAACACATTTTTTGAATAATGATGAACTTCAAAATTCCTTAAATGTTTTAATAAAATTATCACAAGTCGAGTCATTTCATGAATATAATATTTTATTGCAAAATAAGCGCTTGCCCGCAAAGAATCAACTTTTAAAATTTAGTCCATTTTTAGACAATAACAATGTAATGCGGGTCGGCGGTCGATTAGATAATTCATTGTTTTCTTATGAAAAGAAGCATCCTATTTTATTACAGTCCACTCATCGTTTAACAAAATTAATATTTGAATATATGCATGTAAAACTTTTACATGCTGGCCCTCGTTTATTATTGAGTTCATTGAGAGAAACTTACTGGCCAATCGGTGGTTTAAATTTAGCTAAACGAACTTTTCGTAATTGTCATTTATGTTGTCGATTTAAAGGAAAGGTAGTGAATCCTATAATGGGTAACTTGCCGCAGCGACGTGTGACAGCGAGTGGTTGTCCCTTCGAGATCGTCGGAGTCGACTACGCCGGACCTATCATGTCAGCCAGTCGTCAAGGTTGCGGCTGCAAACTTGTCAAAGTTTATATTATTGTTTTCGTGTGTTTCGCAACTAAAGCCATGCACATTGAGTTAGTAGATAATTTGACTAGTAATAATTTTATGTCGGCTCTTCGTCGTTTTATGTCACGTCGCGGCAAACCTAAACACATTTATTCCGATAACGGGACCTCATTCGTAGGTGCGTATAATGAAATCGGTCGTTTTATTAAAAGCAGTCTCAATTCGCTACCTGGTGACCTCGCTCCTGACTACATTAATTTTCACTTTTTACCTCCTCACGCCCCTCATTTCGGTGGTATATGGGAAGCAGGCGTTAAATCTGTAAAGTTCCATCTTAAAAGAATTCTTGGTAATTGTAACCTCACATACGAGGAATTAAACACTGTGTTGGTCCAAATCGAAGCAGTTCTCAACTCTCGTCCGCTTACGCCACTCTCAGCAGATCCTAGTGACCTGCTGCCGTTGACGCCGGGACATTTCCTCATCGGCCGCCCTCTCACTGCGCTGCCGGCTGGCTGCTACGAGCATCATGCCACTGGAAGACTGAGCCGATATCAACACCTGGAGCACCTCCGCCAACACTTCTGGAGCAGATGGAGCAAGGAGTATATCTCAGAACTTCAGTTGAGGACGAAATGGCGCTCTAATCTCAACCCATTGCAGGAAGGTGTTCTGGTCATCTTGAAGGAAGACAACCTACCGCCGCTCAAATGGCGGCTGGGTCGAGTCGTGGCAGTCCATCCCGGAGCGGACGGAGTATCCCGCGTGGCCGATGTGCGGACTGCGACAGGTGTCGTGCGCCGCGCATTCAGCAAGATCTGCCCGCTGCCTCATGACGACAACTAGTTCTGTTGAAGGACGAGCCTTCAACGCCCGGGGGCATGTTGGCGCCAATTCGCCGATGCGCTGAGCGCCTGGAATTTTACTCGAGCAATGTTTTTTGATCAAGTAGGGAAGTACCCTACACAACCTAAGATTTTTAATTATGCTTCCCAATTTTAATGTAACCTCTTTTACTTGTCTGTACTCGTTGAACGCTTGCCGAATAAACATCTCATTCCTCTCTGGCAAATATCATTTTAACCTTCCGTAGTTTTCGGCCTAATAACTTTCACAGTTACCCTCAAGGGTGCAAAATAATCACAGCTTAGTCTCAAATAAACTTAGTATAAGGTGCTCGTCGAAATGTTGAGCAATGCCAAGCGGCCATAGATAAATAATAACTGGAAATAGGCGTTTGCTCGTTTGCCATCTGATGATCATGAGAAGAATCATTATAATGTTATATTAGTAACAACTATGTGTTTGTGTGTTTGTGTGTGTGAATCATACGAATATGTATAAACTAATTATCACGAGGTGAAACAATAATTTCTAGGTCGTTAATTACAACATTTATCTTTGACCTAATTATTATTTTGAAGGATGGATTACCTAATGAAATCTATAATAGATAACTTATAATCGATTTCATAATATCCTGGACATAAATCCGATTAGATACTGGGTTTCCATAAATGGTGAGGAAAGACCCTAGCGGAGCCAGTAACCAACCAAACCTGAAAAATAACCATGAAGTTGTTAATATTGACCTGTCTACTTTCCGCAGTCGTGGCCGAAGAGTCTATACAAGTAGACTATCATCGGAGCGTCGGTATTCCTCTAGCGGAGGCAATCAGGCGAGCAGAGACCGCGTTAGACTTTGACGGAGTGAGAATAGTCGGCGGCTCCCCGGCCGCGCTGGGCGCATACCCGCATCTTGTAAGTATTTTTCATAGGGAAGTTGGCGGGCTAAAACTTGACGAGTATCATAAATATGCACTTAATGCTGCTTAAAAACGACATAAATGCAAACGTGCAAGTATTAGCTAAAGCCGTATCGAACATGGATAATATTTTAACTCGGGCACTTCGCTCACATGCGCATAAACATTATAAAATCCCACCTTTATTGCAATGTCTTCACTAAACTAAATTGTCCTATATATTAATTAAAAAAAAAAGGGGGACATTCCAATTTTAGTAATATGTATAAACTAGCTTTTGCCGGCGACTTGGTCCTCGCGAAATGCTACTACATTTGTGTTCTTCCAGATTATGTTTTACATCCCAAATTACATCGAGATCCACGCTACCGTCCTGGAGTTACCTTCTTACTAACATCCATTCATTCAACGTTTAAAAACATTAGTAAAATCATTTAGTTTCTGTTGCACAGGGTGGTCTACTCATAGCTTTATCGTCCGGCGGCACATCAGTTTGTGGGTCATCGTTACTATCCAACACCCGGTTGGTGACTGCGGCGCATTGTTGGTTTGACGGCCGCAACCAAGCTAGGCAGTTCACGGTCGTGTTAGGCTCCACCAGATTGTTCTCCGGCGGCACGAGGGTTGCCACTAGCAATGTACGGACCCATGAGAGCTACCGCCCCTCCACCTTGCACAACGATGTCGCTATCATTACTATTAGCAGAGTAGAGTTTAATAGTAAGTTATTTTTTTTATCGTTTTCTCTTTTTTTTCATATTATACTAATGAAATAGAAAAAAAATACGCTTGTGTAAATAATCATAAATGATTAAGGATCAATTCATAAATACAGCTGCATAAATTAAACTGAAATGAAATCCATCCATGGTCTTTTGCGATGTGAAAAGTGCGTTCTAATAAATATTTTCTATTTCGTCAGATCATATCGCACCAGTGTCGTTGCCCACGGCGTCCCTCCTCAGCAATAACTTCGTGGGCACTTTCGCACAGGCCGCCGGCTTCGGGAAGACGAGCGATGGTAAATATCTATAAAAGGTTTTTTTTTTGCAAGAAAAGGGTTAGAAGGGGAAGTGAATTAAAATTATACTTCCGGAACGCACACTCATCAGAAGAAACTAGGAATTGCGTCGACACTTTATTGTTATTACAATGCTGTGGATGTTGATGTTTGATAAGTGTCATATTGCACAGCGGCGGGGATCACACAAGGCCAGGTGCTGAGCCACGCGTCGCTGCAAGTGATCACAAATGCGGCTTGTCAGCGCACGTACGGCTCCGGCACGGTGATCGCCTCCACGCTCTGCACCAGTGGGACGGGCAGCAGCACTTGCAGCGGGGACTCCGGCGGCCCGCTCACTGTCAACGATGCCGGACGACGCCTCCTGGTATGCTAGTAGTGCACGCTATTGTGGGTGGATGACAGATTACAAATTGATTCCTGTCTCTGCCAGGTTCATTTGATAATGTATCGTGCTATGCCAAATTGAAGTACTTATTATAATCGATTTCCGAGGCAGTGGACATGGTGCACACTTTATCTCACTTCGTGTAGTAAGTAATGTGTAATATATAATGTTCGTCCCGCTATACAGATCGGCGTGGTGTCGTTCGGATCGAGCCGCGGCTGTCAAGCAGGTCTGCCCGCGGGCTTCGCGCGCGTCACTTCCTTCGCCGGTTGGATCCAAGCTCGTCTGTAGACTGCAACCTGCAACCTACTTCTTATTGTAATTAATGATTCAAAGTGTCACTTTTCTAATCAGTTATCGAATAAATCTTTACACTTCATGATGAGATTTGTGGTGGCCGCCCTTCGCATCCCTTTACTGGTACTAAAGTACATCAATAAGTTTTATTAATTATAATCAGTCCCATTTTCGTGGACTTCCTAGAAAGGAACATCGGCGCCCAGTGCTCTGCTCTCCTCTGCGAATTACACTTTAAGAAAAACTGTGTTAAAGAATATCGTCACAAGCAAAATCAACATAATTGCGTAAATAATAAGGATCTGGCCGATAGATGTCCTGAAATAATATAACTTTCAATATGGCGCTACAAGAAATTATCGAAGAAATTGATAATTAAATAATGATATAACAAAAGCAAAGACAGACAGCGATTTACTGGTAAAATAAACTATATTTGAAGATAAGTTCTAATTAATTTACAAGCAATAAAACGAAGTATATGTCTAATACGACAAAAAAAACAACTTTTAGTTGCCATGTCATCAATATGTATAGCTCTTTACATCTGCAGTTGCATTACGGCTTCGGAGCTCTATTTTTAATATTTAATTTAGCTACAGTCTTAACATAATACGTTTTTCACATTTGGCCAGTTGTATGTCAGCGCCGATTTCGAGCGCAACCATTCATACACATCAAACATTTGCATTTATTACAGTAGTAAGAAAGTAAGATTGGAATGTATACGGCAACACTGGGGAATATGTTCATGGATAGGCTAAAAACCGTAGCATTTTGTGCCCTTTTGATTTCCGCTAACTTGGCGGTTTGGCCTTGACGGGCGTGTTGGATGACGATGGTATACTATCTTAAAAATACATATAAAATAAACTGTCATTATACAAACAGGCAGGCAATATTGAAGGCGCTTTTTTGTCGGAACTTGGAACGAAGCAAAGCTTTAATTTCCAAGCAGCGACCTGTCCATAAATATAGATGTCAATGCCACAGCCACATTTTGTCATTTATTGTGTAATGGCGTCTGTATAGTTCACAGCGGTTAACAGCTTGTTTTTTATTTTAATACTTTATATTTTATTTGTTAAATCATGAAACCAAATTTTGTTTTGTTGTGAAATAGGGGCTGTAGCAAAATGATATTTGTTCAGTGGCTTTGTGAAGTGTTCTTAGACAATCATACCCGTTACCTGCAACGAGTTGAAGAACCTTGCAAAAAACATTTCGGTCAGGGTGCATGTAATGTTTGTCGAATTTGAGGCATATTGTGTGATCCTATGATGACTGTTGGTCATAGCTGTGCTGATTTGTACTTACAGACAAAAAGTGATACTTAAAAGAGTATTAGGCAGTCGCGTTTGTCTTGTGCCATTGTATGCCGTTTACGTCTTTTGTGATTCGTTATTTTGTGAATCTTTTTCCGAGGCTTACAAGGTACAGTATGTGACAGATTGCATGATATCTCTGATTTAGTAGGGAACTTTTACTTGTTTCCTTTAAAAATTTCTAGCTACCCCACCGTCTATTTATATCGGAGGAGACATTAACTTTTAAAGTACTCGTGTTTGTCATGTTGTATTAAACGTGTAAGATTGGTATTTGTTAAAAGTTATGGAAGTAAAATTTAGCGATTTGTTAATTTGCTTTGTTATAAAAAGTAGCTAGTGCGCTAATGGCGACCTGACATAACGAAAGGAGTGTGAGACAAAAGGATATCTATAAAATCACTAGTTTCCAGCTGATGGTTTTTAATATGAAAATGCACCCACTACTCTTACTCCTGCAAATTAATAAATGACTTGTTTAAATTTGGAATAGTTAAAGCATTTCAAACAAAATAGTGATGGATCAAATGTTTTTGTCTACTGCAACCAATTTCTATATTCTGATTATTAGTGATATGTAAAAATGTGATGTTGCAAAAATTAACTTGTTGTATGGGTGTCAGGTGTAACTCTTGCTATCTGTGTAGTGCTTCAAAACCAAAGTTTTATCTTCAACAGCTATAAATACAATAAAAATTTATGGATGATATGCAATATTATCATTAAATATTTTGTATAATATCAACTTCACTCATGGTATATTTTTATTAATATTCTTCATAGTCAATATCTATGTTATGGAAACAACACAACAAGAGATTTAGGCCAGAATTATTTTATAATATAAGTCAAATTGTTTGTTTAACAGATGGTTGACTAGATAGTTGTCATCAGCGGGTCAGCGGCTAAGATGCAGCCGTTTGGGCGGGGCACCCTCAGACCGTGCACCTGCCTCGCCTCTATCCTTTAGTCGGCAAACCCTAACAAATGTACACATGGTAGGTACCACTTGACATATCAATTTTCTGTTAAACCCAAGCGCTTGCTATCCTATGATTAATAACTACCTATTTTATTTTTCTAAATTAGGGTCTCAAATGCATAGACATTGATAGTCTGGAAGGCTACATATTAATTTTGTTTTACTTCCGCACATAATTGCGAACAAACAATAGTATTATTATGTGTTTATAATGGTCTATAGAATTTATTCCTTTATATTATTTTCAGAGCATGGTTGAGCCCACAGACAACCTCGAGAGCAGCCATAAAGTTTTGCAAAGTCGCCTTACAAGCCTCGGTTATGACGACCTTCGCCTCGATCCTATTTCCAAAGATTTGTTAATAAAACATTTACGGGTTGAATTTCCTAGAGAGAAAGTGCCCCTCGTATTGACACCGTTGCTGTATCCGGAAGACACCCAGAGCCCACCGATGACGATGAGCTCTGCCGAGGCCATGGCGGCCGCCCTGCGCGACGCCCCTCTGGCAGAGGTCATCAAGGACATCGGTTACAGTTTTACCGCCACCCTTGAGGACTGCAAGAACAACATGTTGAACTTTGGCGGGCGAGAGCCCACCGCGACCGACGTCGCTCGAATCATTTGTATGATGGTGCGCTACCACACCACGGTGACGGACGCGCCGCAGATACAGACGCCGGGAAACTTCTGGAGAAATCACGAAGGGCCGAGGGAGACTGCGGCGCCCCCGCCCGCGGACTGCTGGAACGCAGACGTCTTCGTGCTCACGCTCAAAGAACTCGCATCCAACTTAAACTGGAAAGAAGTCATATTGCAACTCGACCAACCGGAATTCATCGTTCCCGACAGACAGGGCTTGAGCCTTTTGTTCTCAATCCTGCGCTCGGGACTGCAAAGTGCGGGCTATCCCTCCAATATATTCCCCGTAGAGTACCTGTGTCGGAGATGGACCAATCTCGAAGGTCAGATGACTTTGATATGCAATATGTTGAAACACCCCGACGTGTTCAGCCTCGCCGACTATCCGTTCCACCCGGTGTCCGTGGACATGCTGAAGTCGCCGCCGGAGGCCGACAACAAGGAGGTGGCCACGTGGCGCTGCCTGTACCTGGTGGAGCTGCTGCTGCACGCCGCGGAGCGCGGACACTACCTGCAGGTGCACGAACTCTTCGGCTTCCCTCTGCTGCATTGCCCCGACGTCTTAATGCTCGTCTTGATTCAAATAAACGCACCGATCACGGCCTTCCGACAAGAACTATTGTCTACTCTAGTACCGATATTCTTGGGCAACCACCCAAACTCCGGTGTGATATTGCAACGAGCGTGGCACTCACAAAACCCGAACATCAAGCCCATAATAATGCACGCTATGACCGAATGGTATATCCGCGGCGACTGCGATCAGTCCCGCCTGTCCAGGATCTTGGACGTCGCGCAGGACCTGAAGGCGTTGTCGGTGCTGCTGAACGTGCAGTCCTTGCCCTTCGTCATCGACCTGGCGTGCCTCGCCTCACGTCGGGAGTACCTGAAGCTGGATAAATGGTTGACGGACAAAATCAGAGAACATGGTGAAATTTTCGTATCCGCAATGATGAAGTTTTTACAGAGAAGATGTCCGCCGGTCTCGGGCACCGGGCCCGAGGAGCTGCCGCCCAAGGCCGCGCTGCTGTCGGCCGAGACCGTGGCCACGATGGCGACGTGTCTGCAGCTCTGCGCGCCCGGCGTGGCCCCCGACCTGCAGGACGCGCTCTACGCCGTGGCGGCGCACTGCCAGGCCTGGCTCCTGGCCAAGGCGCGCCTCTCCGCGCCGGCCCCCTCCCGCCCTCCCTTCAACGCGCCCTTCAACTCCGCTTTCACCTCCGCCTTCACCCCCGCCTTCACCTCCGCCTTCACCCCCCACGTCGACTCCATGGCGAACCTCAGCACCGGTGTCGCCGGTATGGCATTGGCCATGCCGACGGACACCGCATTCGGCTTGTCCGGCGCCCTGGGTCCGGTCGCGCCCTCGCCGGGATCGCCTTCACGACTGTTAGGGCCGGGGCCCAACAGCCCCTATCCGATGATGGCGCTTCCGCACAACGCCAACATCACCAACATGGCCGCATTCACGCGATTGTCGCAAGTCCCGTCGGTGGACAAGTTTCGGTTGCCGGATCAGATCAATCTGCCCGAAATAATGCATAGCGTTTCGAAGAAAGTCGAAGACGAAGCGAATGGCTACTTTCAACGGATATACAATCATCCGCCCCACCCGTCCCTCTCCATAGACGAGGTGCTGGATATGCTCAAGAAGTTTCAAGAGTCACCGAATAAAAGGGAGCGGGAAGTGTTTTCGTGCATGCTGCGAAACCTGTTCGAGGAATACAAGTTCTTCCCCGAATATCCCGATAAGGAGCTTCACATAACCGCGCAGCTGTTCGGCGGCATCATCGAGAGGGGCCTGGTGCCGACCTACGTGTCCCTGGGTCTGGCGCTGCGCTTCGTGCTGGACGCGCTCCGCAAGCCCTCCGGCTCCAAGATGTACTACTTCGGTGTCACCGCCTTGGACAGGTTCAAGGCGCGCCTCAAGGACTACCACAAGTACTGCGAGCACGTCCGCGCCATTCCGCACTTCGGAGACTTTCCTCCGCACCTGGCCGACTACGTGGAGTACGGGCTGCAGGGTCGCGACCCGCCCGCCGCCCCGCTCGCCGCCCCGCTCGCACCACCGCCCGCCGCCAGGTACGCTCACCACCTAGTTATAAATATTTGGTAACGGTTCCGA